CCGTGACCGCTGCATGCCACCTCTCGGGGTTCCACACCCCGTCCTCGAGGTAGGCCCCCGAGATGTTCCTGGGCCAGGCCTGCGCGAGGGGTGAGTCGCGCAGGACCAGCAGGGCCGTCTTCGTGTACATAGTCCGAAACAAGGGAGTCCGTGGCATAGAGGGAGGGGTGATGTTTAGTCCCCTTAGGTCTTTCAAAGCCAGGCCAAACGGAGACACAAACAGGCCGCGGGATATCCTCTAGGCCGGGGTGGGCCAAATCCAAGTCCAGGCCCAAACCCAGGCCCTCGCCCTGCCCAGGCCGCTGGAAAGGCCGCTGGAAAGGCCGTAGAGATTGACTACAAAGCGACCGTTTGTGGATTCTCATGGAGAGAACTAACCATAACAATGTGGCCATCGCCTTTCATCTCACTCCCCTTTGCCGGCAGTGAGGAAAAGGGGGTGGGAAATACAACGCCTGGGATCTGGGAAAATAGGATGAGTGATCGTGCCCACGGAGCAGACTGATGGATTGAATGGCCCGGAAGAACTGTGGGGTGGGGGCTGCTTGGGAACACTTTAAAACATTGAATGGTGGGAGAGGATTCCCCAGATCCTGTCTAGCATGCCTGCAATCAGCTTCTCTTAATAAAGATCCCCGTTGGAAGAGACATTCCAAGAGTTCTGTCTTCTTAAGATGTAAATTGAGGTGGGTCCTGACAGGTTGTGTTCACAGTGCTGAAACACAAAACTTCCTCCCTTTGTCAATCTGATTCCACTGTAATATTCTTTTCCATCACCCACCAGCCAGGGCCCTGTTGCTGTGGAGTGGCTGAAACTGGGCTGGCCTCCTTTGGGCTAAGCCAGGGGTAGGCCACCTTGGCTCTTTTATGACTCGTGGACTTCAACTCCCAGAATTCCTGAGCCAGCATGGGGGAACTATGGCCCTCTCATGACTCGTGGACTTCAACTCCCAGAATTCCTGAGCCAGCATGGCTCAGCTTGGAAACCTCACCCTTTCCCCTCAGCATGGCTGGCTCAGGAATTCTGGGAGTTGAAGTCCATGAGTCATAAAAGAGCCAAGGTGGCCTACCCCTGGACTAAGCAGCGCTTGGCCTCTAAGCTCCATCCCGAATCTCTTAAAAATGTCCTGTCTCGGCAGATGGAAATCAAAGCCCAAATGAGCTCTGATCCAGAGCAAGCAGGACAGGAGTACTGCAGTCCTTGATGTACGACCACAACTGAGCCCGAAATGTATGTTGCTAAGGGAGACATTGGTTAAGTGAGTTTTGCACCATTTTACCACCTTTCTTGCCACATCTGTTAAGGGGATCACTGCATTTGTTAAGTTAAAAAAGAAGAGCCTGGACTGCCATCTGTCAGAAATGGTGTAGGGTCTCTGGCTTGGGCGGGTGGGTTGGACTAGATGACCTCCAAGGTCCCTTCCAACTCTTCTATTCTATTCTATTCTATTCTATTCTATTCTATTCTATTTTTTTATATATATACTGTAAGATTTTATTGATTTTTTCTTACATACATATAATAATTTTTCAATCAACCTGCTGTCTGGGTTTAAAAATACATATTTAATTCCTAATCCTTCAATCTTTCCTCTAGCCATTGATAAAATAAGTTCCAGGTTTGGTAATATTCTGTTTCTTCTTTTTCTTTCAAACTCATATTTATTTATTTATTTATTTATTTAATTTAATTTATATGCCGCCCTTCTCCCGGCGGGACTCAGGGCGGCGCACAACATATTTAAAACCAAAACATGTATACAATCCCCCCCTTAAAACCGAATTAAACCAAATTTTAATGTTGTGTCTTCCAAATTCCTAAAAAACCCAGTATAAAATCCACCCTAGGTCAGGTCCG